AGACAAATGTTGATAATTTTATGATTAGATACATGAAATCGGCATGAATGCAAAAACGCAACATGTGATATTAATGGCAGCCCTTCCAGATGTACGGATTTTTCCGTACTGTACGGATTTTCAGAGGTGAACATGGTTGTACGGATTCAGCGTACGCATTTTTAGCTTTTCATCAAGATTTACGGATTTTCGGAGTTTTTTTTTCATATTGTAAAAAGTTGCCTGTTTTACATATATGTCACAGGTTTCTTATAGTTCCTGGACCCTCCATTTTTCTATTAAAAAATCCGTTATTTTCGTACTTGAGGAACTTATATATTAACAGCTTGACAATTTTTCAGCCGATTTAACAAATCAAACATGAGAAGAGGATTTATTTTATTTATTTATTTATTTATAAATGTACACCAATGAAAATTAATAAGGCAGCCAAACTCCTCCACGTACAGCATAAAGGACGGCGTTTGAACATATTGGAGAACATGGAGATATACAAGCAGAAAACATTTCAATGGAGAATTATAAACGAACAAACAAACACCGTATCCGATTTTATATTCGAACCACTCAAGATGCTGTACGGAAAACTTGATAACCATACATTGAGCAACGGAAGGCCCTTGAAAAAAACGCCAACGCGAAGATACAGACCTACGCCGCAGAAACCAAGAAAATTAAAATAACGGATTTCGTAACCGAAATATATCGGAAATAAAAAACTAAAAAACTTGTGTTATCGTTAATTTTTGAAAAATTGACATTGAGCCGGCAAAATACTAACAGCCCGATTCTGAATACAAATTCCTTAGGAAATTTCTCACTTCTCTCTATCCTCTTATTCTGAACAAAAATTCCTTAGGAAATTTTTCTCTTCTCCCTTTCCTCTTATTCTGAACAATGTTCGAAAAAGGGAAAACAAATTTAGAGAGGAAAGTAGGTATCACGAATGTAAGTAAAAGGGAGATTTTGCTGCCATTTTTAAAGTATTTTTTCACTAACTATTTTGAAAGGAACGCTGAGAAAAAATGTAAGTTTATTTACTATTTAATGGAAAAAATACTAATTTATAATAAAAAACAGTAACAAAGTACTACAATCATTCTTATTTTAGGTCGAAAAGTACAAATAAGCATCAATTAGAAATTCTGGTAAATCGCGCGAGGTTTTTACAAAGGCGGTAAAGAACCATTGAATAGATTTTGGCGCAAAGTTGAGGAAGAACTCAATTCAGCGGGGCCACCATCAAAATGTATTGCCGAATGGAAGAAGGTACATCAATAAATACATTTTACCTATGTCAGTTTAATAAAATTGCTACAATCCAGGTGTGGGCTGATCAAAAGAAGTACGTGCGACACAAAGCAGCCAGTAACCTTAGACATAGTAAGGGAACTGGAGGAGGCCCTAATATCGAATACAAGTTTTCTGCAACAGAAAGGGCAATATTCGAGTTGATAGGGATGAAGGAATCCGTGGAAGGTGTGGCGAAGACATTTGGGCTGACATCTTCGATTAATGTTGAACGAGTGGAAGAAAACCTTGATTTCTTGATGAATGAGAGTGGTGTAGTGAATGAAATTGTATTGGAGAATGAGTGTGTCGCGATGAATGAGGACCCAATGGATTGTGTGTTTCTGATTGACGAAGAGGAGACTACTTACCAGCCATCTTCAAAAGCAGTTAAGCCTACTTCCTCCAAAAAAGTGTTGACAAAACAAATTCTCGTGGAAAATGTTGCAACTCAGCGCGAGCTATGCGACACCATCAAGGGTGCAGTTTCGGAATCCAAAGAACAGCAAGAAAACGTAAAAAAAATTTATAGAGCGATCGACAGTATGCAGGCGGTCCAGAAAAAGCATTTAAAGAAATGGACAAAATTAAAGAGGGAAGAAATTGGCGAAATGAAAAGGCATAATCTGGTCATGGAAGAACTCATGCTTCGCCAATTAGAGAAGTAAATGGAAATGCATAGTACAAATAGAATAAGAATAACTGAATTTGTAATGTTTTTATTTTTTAATGTACATATATTAACTATTTTGTGTGTTTATTATGAGGCCTTTTAGTATAAGAATAACTGAATTTGTGATGTTTTTATTTTTTAATGTATATATATTAACTCTTTTTTATGTTTATTATGAGGCCTTTTAGTATAAGAATAACTGAATTTGTGATGTTTTTATTTTTTAATGTACATATATTAACTCTTCTTTATGTTTATTATGAGGCCTTTTAGTATAAGAATAACTGAATTTGTGATGTTTTTATTTTTTAATGTATATATATTAACTTCTTTTTATGTTTATTATGAGGCCTTTTAGTATAAGAATACCTGATTTGTGATGCTGTTTTATATTTTAATTTAATACTAAGAAAATAAGAAGAAACTGAATTTGTGTTGCCTTATAACGTTTTATTTACATATATGTATGTATATCCATGGATTTTAAAAATAATTTTTAGTATACGAAACTTAATTGTGGTACTCACTTCATTTATCCCTTTGTAAAAGACTGAATACGAATATGAAATTAATATATATCCTTATAAAAATTAAATATGAAAATAAATGTTTTTTGCTTTTGTAACTTAAAATTTAAAGGGAGCTCGCAATTCGGTTTCTTGTGGTTTGTGCTACAGCCAAATACTGGGGCGATGTTAAAGAGGTAACATCTGTATTCTCACTCATTTGGTTTATCTGCTCTGGTGAGTTTATTTCGCTCATGTCTGTATATGACTTAAAATGTATGCATATATTATGTAACGCACAACATACATTGACTATCTGAGCTGCTTTTCTGGGGGTATAATGCAGTTCTCTTGCTCCAAGGAGACACCTCCGTCGATTTTTTAGCACTCCATTGACTCGTTCAATTAAGTTCCGACGTTTTGAATGGGCATCATTAAATTTCATTTGGTTGGAGCCATCTTCTGGGCTTCGATATGGGGTCAGAAGCCATGGTTCTTAAGGGTATCCGGCGTCTCCTAATTCAAAAAAGTCCCATATTACAGCATATAAAAAATTTCACTAATTTTAATTTTACCAAGCAGCCAAAAATTGCCTTCACCTCGCAAGTACTGTGCTTCAAGATGCGTTCTCAACTCACTGCCATTCCAAATAAAGGAGTCATGAGAGGCACCAGGATGGGAGGCATCAACGTATCGAATCCTAATCTCGTGGTCACACATCTGCCAATACAAAATTACACATATTTGTTAATATACGTACATACATACACATCCATTTTTTAGATAAGTTAGTTTGTATTCATCTAAGTATTAAAAAAAAAATAGCGTATCAGCATCACATTTAGGCTGTAGTATCCCTTCCTATTGTAGTATAGGTGCTTATTTTCAGAGGGTGCGATGATACGAACATGTGTTCCATCAAGACACCCTATAACACTGGGAATACTATGCTTTATGTATAATGCACGTGAAATGCGTCTTATTTCATCGATGTCCATTGATGCATTTATCCACCTTGAGCACAACAAAGTTTCAAAAGTTTCAGTTACTTCTTTGAGAACTTTTCTGAAGGTGGACTGGGCTAGAGAGACGTCGACGTCATTTCCAATTCCTGTTTGATAACTGCCTTCAGCAAAGAAACGTAAAGATGCGCTGAGTTTTACAATAGGAGGAACTGCAAATTGCTTTTTAGCTTGCTCGGTATGCGAGGTAAGAAGTTCCAATAAATGTCGAAATGCCGGCTTATTTACCTATAATATTTCTGGAACCTGTAAAAGCGATAAATTATTTAAAATATATGTACAAATGTTGTGTAGGTATTTACAATGATTGCGGCAACTCAAGCGGATTCGTATTATCGCGCAGGCTCCTTGTTATAGACCTCTGTTGAGCTTCCTGTGGCTCCAATTCGCCATATACTCCCTCCACTACCATATGAAAGGCAATACTATGCGTTATTTTTAATATTTTCTTAAAACGATACAAAATTCAACAAAAAGTTCAAACTTTTGAATTCTCTCAGAATGTCTAAATGAAATGTCATTTGGCAAAACAGCTGATTTCAAAAATTCGAAATTCTTCCTCAATTATTCCTCTCCCTTGCGGAAAATAATAGGAGGATTTTTTTCTCGAGAAAAGAAAAATCCGTGAGAATATAATTTCGCGAGAATATTTAGAATCGAGCTGTAAATTACGAATAGATAGGTCACAAAAAACATCATCATAAATAAAGTTTTGAGCCCAGCAAAATTGGACATTTCTAAAAAAAAAAACTGTAGTAGCGAACTTTGGATTAGGGATGCAAACGATGCATCGATGTTTCTGAAACATCGATAACATCGGCCAAAAAACCGATGTTTACCATCGATATTTGAAAATTACTCAACATCGTAAAATTGGGGTTTATCTATATCAATTTTAACGATGTTTTAAACATCGACTTTAGTTTCGCTTCAAAATTGCCATTGCGTTCACATCTTTATGTTATATTCTTTGGGCTCTGTCACACGGTCAGTATTTATTGATGTGATCCAAGTATCGCGATATTTATGGACGGTGTAGTATGCAGTATTGATGGATCGGGATCCATCGCAAAATTTCTAAAAATTTTGAAATCTGGATCGCGGATCGCAATACCGTCAATAAATATTGAACGTGTAGCACTTTCAAAACGCGATCCATACATTTCTTCAGTACATCTTTTACTCTCATAATGTAAACATCGGCTCTGCCTTCACTCTCGGGGCTTAAAATCTTTCAAAACAAATTGAACAAATCTTAAAATAATTGTGGAATGCATTATCTGTAAATTATACGTACAAAATAAAAATATTTTCTTGCAAATACTGACGCGATAAATATTGAACATGTAGCATTCGTGCGCGATCCATCAATCCATCAATATGGATCGCGATCCAAATATCGTGATAATTACTGACCGTGGGACAGAGCCCTTTGGGTAAGTTTATTATGGGTGATGGCAGTCCTGCACTTAATAAAAGCAATTGGCAATGTTGAACATAGGCGATTTCCATGACGATCACTGTATTTCAGGATTTGCAGGTTTTACAGGTAAAGCGGTTTTCGCCATTAATAAACCTTATGGAAGGTGGCGTATGTTAACCGCTTCCTGTAAAACCTGAAAATCATGAAGTACCTGCAACATACTTATTAAAAAGAGAAACATCGGAATATATCGATAGTTTTAGGGCGATTTTTTTCGGCATCGATGTTAGTGTTTACGATACATCGAAATATCGATGTATCGATGTTGGCTCTGAAAATTTGCATTCCTACTTTGGATGCAGTTTACTTCTATTTAATATGTAGATCATGGACCTACAGTATTGCTCCTAAATTTCATATTGAAACATTTCGACATCTCGGATTTTATGTTTTTTGGGTTTATCTCGATTTGCAAGCTTATTTTGCATTTTTCATAAAAAATAGTTACATACAAATTTGTAGAGAATTTAATTTCTCACAGTTTTTTATATATAAAAAGAAATTTTTTTTTATGTAAAAACAAAAACTGCGAAAAATTTCTACATTGTCACACTTTTCGCCATTTTTCAACAATTTCATTTAAATTCTCTACAAATTTGTATTGAACCAGTTCTTAACAAACATGCAAACTAAGCTTGCCAATCGCAAAAAAAAAATCAAAAAAGAAACATAAAATCCAAGGTTGCGGAATATCCCAATATCAAATAGAAGTAACTGCATCAAAAGTTCGCTACTAAAAGTTTTTAGTTTTCTTAGTACCAATTTGATCTAATTTTAATAATTCAATGAATAAAAATATTTTGTTTTTAAAGTATTAAAATCTTCAAATTATATTCAACAAATTTTAATGAGCTTGAGGCCGTTTTTAATGAAAAACTTATTGTGGAAAAGCAACAATAATGTGAAAAAATGGTAGAAGTGATAGCTATTTCGGAAATCACCACATTTCCTCATCAGACTTCTTTCAGTAGGATTCGAACCGACGATCCCACTGACTCAGCCAGTTGCCTATGCACTGTGCTAAGTTCGCCTTGTAAATTATCGTTGCTTTTTTCCCACTTTTTCATTTTGTTATGCCAACACAATCAAGCGCAGCTTTTCCGCTGCAATTCACTTGATCATGAGGTTGTTGGTTTTAGCTAATAATTATATTTTTAGAATGTTTAACTTTTAGGTGTGCTCGCTCCTTAAGTTATTTGTTTTTGTTATTTTATGGCCTTATAACAATTATATTCAACAATTTTTAATGAGCTTGAGGCCGTTTTTAATGAAAAACTTATTGTGGAAAAGCAACAATAATGCGAAAAAATGGTAGAAATGATAGCTATTTCGGAAATAACCACATTTCCTCATCAGACTTCTTTCAGTAGGCTTCGAACCGACGATCCCACTGACTCAGCCAGTTGCCTATGCACTGTGCTAAGTTCGCCTTGTAAATTATCGTTGCTTTTTTCCCACTTTTTCATTTTGTTATGCCAACGCAATCAAGCGCAGTTATTCCGCTGCAATTCACTTGATCATGAGGTTGTTGGTTTTGTTGGTTTTTGCTAATAATTCTATTTTTAGAATGTTTAACTTTTAGGTGTGCTCGTCCTTAAGTTATTTGTTTTTGTTATTTTATGGCCTTATAACAATTATATTCAACAATTTTTAATGAGCTTGAGGCCGTTTTTAATGAAAAACTTATTGTGGAAAAGCAACAATAATGTGAAAAAATGGTAGAAGTTAGAGCTGGGATATTATCGATAGTAATATCGACAGTATTGATAGTTGAAAACTGCGCCACTATCGATAATTTTTGAAAACTATCGATGTCGGTTTTAGGCAAACTTCTCTCTTCTTTACATCTCTTAACATTACATGTTTTTTTTTTTAGTTTTTAGTTTAGTTATTGGAGTTTTTAGCAACTCAGTGTAAGCTGAGTTATAGTAAAATTCAATAAGCTATAAAACCGCTTACACAAAATTTATAGAAATCCGAATTAAAAAGCATGAAATTTTAATGATTTTGTATTTTCTTATGTTTTGTACAACTTTTATAAAAAATTAGTAGACACTAAACAAACAAAGGAACAAATGCAGTTGGGCTCCAAATCTCAACAAAAAAAATATTGGAGTCGATAGAGGTGACTGAGCTGAGTATAACGGTATACTTATTTTTTTTGGCAAACAACAACAACAAAAATTATCAAAGGTTAAAGTTCAAAAAGAGAAATTTTTGAAATCAAGATTTCTTAAAAACAAATGGATAAATCTTGAAAATTTTGATTTTATTTAAGTGGGAATTTGATTCCCTTTAATTTGGTATGCGTACTTTATATATATGTTGTATAGTTCTTACAAAAATGGAATTAATGTAAAATAATTATTAAAAAAACACCTTTTGCAGAGAACTCCTTTCTGCGTAGGCGGCCTTCGGCCGCATTCGAAAATGAAAATAAAGTTAAGAATGGAAACGTTTTGATTATAAAAAGGCAATANTTTTTTTTTTTAGTTTTTAGTTTAGTTATTGGAGTTTTTAGCAACTCAGTGTAAGCTGAGTTATAGTAAAATTCAATAAGCTATAAAACCGCTTACACAAAATTTATAGAAATCCGAATTAAAAAGCATGAAATTTTAATGATTTTGTATTTTCTTATGTTTTGTACAACTTTTATAAAAAATTAGTAGACACTAAACAAACAAAGGAACAAATGCAGTTGGGCTCCAAATCTCAACAAAAAAAAATATTGGAGTCGATAGAGGTGACTGAGCTGAGTATAACGGTATACTTATTTTTTTTGGCAAACAACAACAACAAAAATTATCAAAGGTTAAAGTTCAAAAAGAGAAATTTTTGAAATCAAGATTTCTTAAAAACAAATGGATAAATCTTGAAAATTTTGATTTTATTTAAGTGGGAATTTGATTCCCTTTAATTTGGTATGCGTACTTTATATATATGTTGTATAGTTCTTACAAAAATGGAATTAATGTAAAATAATTATTAAAAAAACACCTTTTGCAGAGAACTCCTTTCTGCGTAGGCGGCCTTCGGCCGCATTCGAAAATGAAAATAAAGTTAAGAATGGAAACGTTTTGATTATAAAAAGGCAATAAGATGACCATCGAAAAAGAAAATAAACCTAAGAATGGTGGCGTCTTGCGCTTATTTGCAAATAGTACCACTAATCAATACTTACTTGCGTGATTTAGTTATTTGCAAGTAAAAAATATACTCATTATTCATACCGCAAAGTTTACCATTTTGCAAATTGTTATTTGCAAATAATACGTGCGAATAAACGTAGTATGTGTTGCGATGAAAAGGCACTGAACCAGAGAAGCGCAGCGATCAAACTGAATATATCCCACTCACCATCCATAATTTGTTCTACTTATATGCATTCATATTTACTGAAATGCCCCCGAACGTCATATCCACCCTTAAACAAGAGGTATCTATCATACTCATACTTAACAACATGCCTGACGCGGGCAAACTTCAACTCTCCTTGGCGTGATGTGCAAAGAGCTGAGGGAGATAAGTATGATTTAAGAGTGCGCATGTACATACATGCATTAATAAACTTAAAGAGGAAAAAAAGTACAAAGTAAAAAGATTTTTCTTTTTTAATAACTTAATAATAATAACTTAAGAAATTGTGAACATGAAAAAATGTACTACCAGTTATTGTTTTCGCGAGTTTTCGCTATCCAAGACCTAAGTTTTAAAGCAAAACCGCAAAAATGTGGGAAAATTTTCATAGATACATTTGCAGTTCCGGACACTACTCAACACATATGTAGTCATACCTTAAAAAAATAGTGCACATGAAAAAATGTACTATCTGCTTTTGTTTTTGCGATCCAAGCACGAAGTTTTAAAGGAATAGAGTAAACATTAGTTTAAGCATGCCAAACGGATGATTACATCACTTAAAAATATGTATGTATGAATTTTATGTTAGATAGGTATGTACGTTGCTGGGTTTATGACCATGTATACTAATTTTGTGGAACTCTTACAGGTCTATTCTGCACGTTACCGAAGATTTTGTAACCGGAAATTTTTATTACCAAAAGATGTTACCAGTTCTTGTCACCGCGATTCTAGGAACGTTGGTAATGCAGTTAAAATATTTAGCAATTCAGCTATGAAGAATTGTGCAAATTCTGGCATTGCATATTTCACGGGGCAATACTTTGTTACCAGCTTATGAGATGGTAACAAAATTTACCGGTTACAAGAGTACACAGATTGCGAAAAGGGTTTAAAAATTGGCAGGAACTT